CTCCCTCCCTCCCTCCCTCCCTCCCTCCCTCCCTCCCTCCACAGGGACGAGGTCTGGGAAACCAGGATGCAGCACAACAAAGCTCTCTGGGACCTCTGTGGTCCCAGCGGCGACGCAGACCTAGACCAGGCGCTCTGGGACCAGACCTTGGCAGCAACTGCGTCTTAGGCAGGCGTTTCGCAGTCCGTCAAGGCGGCAAGATTAGGCCCATTGATGACATGTCAGTCAGTTTAGTCAATTGCACGCTTGGTACAGACGAAAAGATAGTTGTTCAGCCCGCCGCCAGCACTATCTCTCTCGCCCAGCACATCCAGAGCAGATGTCTTTCAGCCAGGCGCAGAGCCAGCCAGCCTGGAGCCATGAAAGGCCGAACATTTGACTTGAAAACAGCCTTCAAACAGCTTGGCACACACCCCACAGACCTGTCTTTTGCCAAAGTGCTTGTGTGGAATCCAGCCTCACGCAGGCCAGCAGTGCTAGCTCTGAAAGCGCTCCCTTTCGGAGCCACAGGAAGTGTGCACGGCTTGAGGCGTTGTAGCCTAGCACTGTGGCAAATCGCAGTCAGCCTCCTAATTCTGCCTCTGACAGTGTTTTTCGACGATTTCACCTCAGTGAGGACTGCCAGAGCGTTGAGACTTCTTTTCTGCTCCTTTTGAAACTTCTTGGCTGGAAGGCCGCTCTGACAGGCAGCAAGGCTCTGACACTTGCAGAAGCTTTTACCAGTCTGGGCATAGGTTACATTTTGCCTCGCACACCAGGTGGTTTTGTTAGAGTGCACAACACTGAAAAGCGCAAACTTGAGGTAGCCACAACATGTCTGCGTGCACTGCAGACTGGGACGTTCTCGCCTTCCGAGTGCGTGGCCTTTGCAGGCAGGTTGAGATGGCTGGACTCTCAGATCTTTGGCAGACGAGGTCGGTGGGCTTTCAGAGTTATCTTAGAGCATGGCACAAGACCAGGCCGCCACAGACAGCTACAGCTGACCAGTGCCTTGAAAGAAGCTCTTGACTGGGTGCTACAGCACGTGCCTAAGGCGGAGCCACGAGCCTTCAAGGCTCCCACCTCCAGTTCATGCCAGGTCTTCACAGACGGCTCCTACGAAGGCGGTGTAGGCCGGTTAGGCGGCGTGTTGCGCAGCTCAAGCGGCAAAGTCACAGACTGGTTTCAGGCGACAGTGCCCGGTGACATCGTTCAGTCATGGCTCACTACAGGTACTTCGCATCCGATCCTACAATGCGAACTGATGGCTGTGTCGCTAGCAGCAGCCATTTGGGGAGCTCAGCTTGCAGATTGGCCAACAATCTGGTGGATAGACAATGACGCAGCCAGACATTGTCTCATCAGCGCCAAGGGATATCCAGACTCCAATGCCAGACTTGTGCAGACTGTCCTAGACTGTGAGGAAACCTTCAGGATTCAGTCGTGGTTTGCACGGGTGCCCAGCATCAGCAACCCTGCTGATGCGCCCAGCAGAGGCGAGAAAGCAGACTTCCTGCAGCAGGCAACAGAGGTCGAAATCAAGGTGGGGTGGCTCAGGTGTTTGGCCAGAGGAGCGGTGCCAAGCATTTTCCTGCAATCGACAGCTTGAAGGGATGTGGGGACGGCCAGTCTCTTGCAGCCCTGAACAGTCGGTGCAGAAGTGGAGCTTTAGTCTTCAGACTGCCTGGTCAGTTTTCCTTAGGCGACTTCTGACCGGAGGTAGACCGTATCTGCCGAGGGCAGTCGTTGAGGACTTTGTGTGGCACCGTTCACCCCACCTTCGGGAAAAAGTGTGCTCTGCATATCTCAGTAGAAGCACCTCTCGTTAAGTCGTGCATGCTTGCATCAAGCTTTAACGGTGTGTGCTGTCCATTTTGGATCAAGTGTCAGATTTTCAGCAGCCCGCCCTCCACGCCCTATGAGGAAGGTTGTCGATCCCAGCTGGGAGTGTGGCCTTGGGTTCGGCTCAGTTAAGCGCAGACGCACAGACCTGGTTCTGCCCTGGGAGGATCCAGTCTTCAACTTTGTAGCCCAGGACACAAACTTTCTGCAGGACTTACAGGAGAAGCTGCTGGAGCCGCCAGAGCCAGTGCCTTTACCAGCACCGGCGGCCACCAAGGTAGTCACTCAACAGACTTCTCTCAGACCGCCTCAGCCTAAGCTTCGCAGTGTGACGCAGTGGAAACCGCAGGATAGCCAGGCGGAAAGACAAGCAGCTCTGTCCAAATGGAGCCAGCTGCTCAGAGCTGTGCCGCATTTCTTTCCCGAGGAATCGCAGTTGGAAATAGTTCACGAAGACAATCAGGCTGAGCTTGGCAACTTGGACCTCAGGTTCGCCAAGAAGAGCACAAACACTCTTCTCAGCCGTGTTAGCAGCCTGCAGCGCTTTGCTGCCTGGAAGCTTAAATGCTTTCCGCACGAGCCGCTTAGTGAGTCCGTTGTCTTTCTATACTGTGAGCACCTTAAGCAGAAGCAGCCAGACTCCAGTGCACCAGACCAGCTGTGCCAAGCTTTGAACTTTGTGGACGGAGTCTTAGGCCTGCAGGCACCTGCGCGGACCTTGGTCAGTGCCAGAGTCCAAGGTGTGGCGCATCAGTGCATGCGTCAGCAGAAACCGCCGAAGCAGGCGCCAGCCTTGACCACAGACCAAGTCAGGTGGATTCAGACGTTTGCCCAGTCGGACGAGCCACAGTATGAGCGGTATATTGCCGCCTCCTTCTTGTTCATGATCTACGCCAGAGCCAGGCACAGCGACATCAGACGCAGTCAGACGATTTCAGTCGATTACGACGACTCTGGCAAAGCGCTATATGTTGAGTGCTCTGTCTTGAACCCCAAGCAGAGCAAAGCCAGCAGACGCAGGAACATGTTCCTGCCGCTCGTCGCTCCTACCCAAGGCATCTGCAGCGAGGCCTGGGCCACGGAGTGGCTTGACCTCAGGAACAGTCTGGGTTTGGCTAACAGCGGCAGCCTGGAAGACAGTCCTTTGCTGCCAGAGCTTGCAGCCGATGGCAGTCTGCTCCAGACCAACATGGACTCTGCCTCAGCATCCAAGTGGTTGAGATGCACCTTGTCCAAGCAGCCAGGTTGCAATCATAGCGACATTTTACGTTTTTCCAGCCAGGGTTTGAAGGCAACTTGTCTTAGCTGGTGTATGAAATATTCGATTTCAGACGCGGATCCAAAGACTCTTGGCTACCACAGCAAGGGCAAGAGTAGCAGCGCGCTCAGCTACGGCAGAGACGCACTGGCTTGTCCGTTGCGCACCTTGGAGAAAGTGTTGTCCGACGTCAGAGAGGGCAAGTTCAAACCAGACAGCACGCGCTCTGGACGTTGGCAGCCACAGTCCTCTCAGACGGCAGCAGCGTCCTCCTCAGCACAGACGGCTGAACTCAGTGAGCAGCCTTTTGCAGAAACAGTCTCTGACAGTGACAGCTCCGAACCAGCCTCCGACAGTGAAGGCTCGTCAGACGAAGAGCCCCAGCTGTTACAGAGTGTCAGTCACAGCTTAGCCTTGGTAGCAGAGGACCCAGACTTTCATTTTCTCACAAATGTGCGCAGCGGAGTTGTGCACATTTGTCGACAGCAGAGTGATAGACTCCTCTGTGGCCGCACTGCCTTCAGCGCCCTGCAGGCAACACCCAGGGTGGACTTCAGTCTTGTAAAGGCCTGTGTGACTTGCCAGTCAGTTGCAGACGGACTGATCGCGGGTCAGTGGGCTTGCAGAACCGCATAGCTCGGCTGCAGCCTTAAAATTTTCACTCCACGGGGACGGCCAGTCTCTTGCAGCCCTGAACAGTCGGTGCAGAAGTGGAGCTTGAGTCTTCAGACTGCCTGGTCAGTTTTCCTTAGGCGACTTCTGACCGGAGGTAGACCGTACCTGCCGAGGGCAGTCCTTGAGGACTTTGTGTGGCACCGTTCACCCCACCTTCGGGAAAAAGTGTGCTCTGCATATCTCAGTAGAAGCACCTCTCGTTAAGATAAGATAACAACGGTAAGTAAGAGAAGTTGTCTATTTTCATATTAGCCAAGTTCTTCAGATTCTTGATATAGTATTCATACAATCATATAGCAATACGAGTCTTTGTCTGTCGTATAACGTTAGACTGAATTGTGTCATATTTTGTTTTATTGCCAAAACTGAAACTTACTGTTGATGTAACAGTTTGTTTTACCTCAATATACATATCATTGTGAACTCATATCAATGTAAGATAGAATCATACAATGCTTGTATGACAGATCGCATCAAGTCGAATCTAAGTCATGTCAATATGGTATGTTGCTTCCAACTGTGTTTTGCTTCGAAGCCCACTTGTACGTA